AATGGAAGCAAATGCTGTTGAATGATAATGCATGGAGGGGATTGTAATCATTGCAATGAAACGAAATAAAACAGGATGAATGTAAAACTGATGTTCTCTTATGTAAACTATTACTCAATTCACAAGAAAAACTTAAAAAAAACAAAAACAAAACAGGAATGAAATATTGAAACATGTAATGACATGGATGAACTTGAAAACATTATGCTACATGAAAGTAGCCAGATACAAAAAGTCCCATATTGTATGACTAATTCCCAATTTATATAAAATGTCCAGAAGGGCAAACCCATAGAGACAGAAAGTGGATCAGCAGTGGCCAGAATGCTCCATGGAGGCCAGGAAGGCGAAACTTCGTATCATACTTTGAACATGTTGTTAAGAAGGACCTGCCCTTGGAGAAGGACTGGGTAAAGTGGAGGGTAAGTGAAAAAGAGGAAGATTCCCAATGAGCTGGATTGGCATGATGGCAGCAGCAATGGGATCAAACTTAACAAAGAATATGAGGATGGTACAAAACCGGGCAGTGTTTTGTTTTGTTGTTCATAAGGCTGACATAAGTCAGCATCGAGTTGATCATACCTAACAAACCCTATACAGGGTCACTATACAGGGGAATGGGATGTGATTGCTAATGGGATTTTTCTGGAATTAGATAGTAGTGATGATTTCATAACCTTGTGAATATACTAAAATAAAACATTGAGAGTTCTTTAAAAGAATAAATTTATGAAATATACATTTGTATATGTAGTTGTTGCTAAGTGCTGCCAAGTTGGTTCCAACGCATGGCTACTCTGTATAGGGTTTCCAAGTTTAAAACTTTGCAGGAGCAGAAAGCTTCATCTTTCTCCCTTGGAGCAGCTGGTGGGCTCTAAATGCCACCCTTGTGTTCATAGTTCAATGTTTATCCTACAGAACCCTATGCTCCCTGTATCTATGTATATGGATATAAATAAACTACCTTTTATGTGCCAGACCTTATGTTGTGTGATAGAGATGCTAAGAGAAATCAAAGCCAATACCCTATTCTTAAGAGTAAACGGCAGTTTTAACTTAATTAGTAAATGAGGTCTACTTTGAGCACTATGCTCTTTTAAGCACTATCTATCTGGGATCAAATTGACAACAGCAACTAGAAAGATCAAGTAGGATTCTTAGGGGGCAGTGAATTGTGTTAATGAGGGAGAAACAACCCAGAAAAGAGGGTGAGAATCGTTGTGCACTCCAAGCATGTCATCAGTGTCATTATGCTATACATGTAGAACCGGTTGACTTGGTTTATCTTTTGCTGTGTATCATCTCAACAACAATGACTAACAAAATAAATTTATTTTTTAAACTCACAGTTGTGTTGGGGAAGGCACATGTTACATTTAAATAGGTATAGATGGCAGAGTGGCTAAATCACTCAACCAAAAGATTGTGGTTTGAACCCAACAGTCTCTCCACAGGAGAAAGATGAGGAGGTCTGCTTCCATAAAGATTTATACCCTTGGAAACCTTGTGGAGAAGTTCTATACTGTCCTACAGGGTCGCTATGAATCAGAATTTCAATTGATTTCTGCTTATTCCATTTAGTGAAGTCCATGTTTACAGTCATCTTTTATGTTGTTTAAAA